GTTTGTGTCATATTCCTGCTCCTCTTCTATTTCTGCCGAGTCTCTTTCTTAAGTAGCCTAAGTACTAACGGGCTGTTCAGACCGAGGACGGGTGGGCTAACACACTTGACACATTGACCCACAATCCTGAGACGTCTACACTGCGGGACGGGTAGGAACAGGTCGGCTGAGATCATGGTTATGATTCTACCTGATGAGGGTTTTCTTATTAATCAGCAGGAAGATTTAAAATTAACCACAGAAAAAACAAGATTTGCTGAGCGAGCTGTAAATGAAGCAGCATGTTTTCAAGTCGTTTATAATTTGGTGCATACGTAGCTAACCAATAAAAACGGACCACACTGGTTTAAAAGATGAGTTTGGATTGTGCGTCCTAAATTTCAGTTTGAGTAAACCCAAATCTGCAGACTGTTATAATTCATAAGAGTGTTGTGCTGCTTACGTTCTGCTGCCGACCTGCTTGTAAAGAGGCTTAGCGATGGGTGTCCTGGCCTCCTTTAGGACCACATCATGCTCTGGCCTCAAAACCTGCACCTGATCATAGAGCAACCCTGATTGCAAACTTACATATTAAAAAATTAAGAGGCTTTTGCAAAATAAACGCAGCACATTGACTTTTGCATTCAATATTTTATGCTCTGTATATCTTGAACAGAGAAGTTCAGGTCTGCTATCGTCAGTCGAGCAGGAGGTCGACTGTTTACAGCTGCTTATAGGGATCAACAGTCTGGTTCCTGAAGTAAAAATCACAATTTTCTCCATAGTGGATTGAGTTATTAGCCATAACCATCACAGGTAGACTGACCATGAGCTACTCAAGTGCTGAGGCGGGTTTTAAACCTCCTGACAAACCGTTACACCGCGCCCACCTGTCAATCAGGTCAGCTACACGCCTTATTGTGAATAACTCTTATCCTTCATCAAATCAAAACTGATGAGTCATCAAAACATTCACCCCCCGTACAGTGTGTGTCCATCCAGACATGAGCTAATCACACCTATTTGGTTTTTTGAACCAGGCTGTAAACATGTTCATCTCTGCTGTAAAAACAGGCTTTTTAGAATGGGTGTGTATGTGACTTCCTGTGCTTCTGCAGCCAGCCTCTAGTGGACACTCCAGGAACTGCAGGATTTTGCATTGGCTTGATTTTTCAACACCGGAGGTGTACTGAATAATTGAACATTTTGACAACACTAGAGACAACATACAAGTGTTGCTCTGACAGCAACAAGTCAACGTGCATGTGCAAGACAATGCGTTAACCTTGAGAACAGACGGCTGCAGCTCTCATCCAAATATGGTGCCACGTGGCTCCGGACACGAGGGAGGGGGAACAATACAACATGTGGTGTTGTGACAGCCTTATCTTTTTCTGAAACAGTCTATGATCATCGTCAAGCTTGGTTTTAGGCCCAGCTGTTTGACATTCAAAATGTCTAGTGTGGGAAGTAACAGAAGACACTAAACAGGAAATGGCCATGTAATGAACAGGTAATGAACTGGAGATGTATAGCGAGTTGATTGGTCCTTTCCCTCTGATACATGAGTCTAAAAAAAGCGGAAACTTTCTGAAAAGGTCTATCCTCTCCGCCTTTCTTAAAATACTCCGGCTTTGCATGATTCACAGTATTGGATTAAAAGGTCCTCTAGTATTTCAGAGGATTATCAGGGATACTAAAGGACAACAGACCGTCACCGTGCTTCTTGTTGCGCTACTGGCAGATTGTTTTTTGGGGTTTGAGTGATGCTAAGAAATTTTGTACACCTTCTTGGTCCCCAGAGGATTAATCCAAATGACTTTAAAGGTCCAATCAGTGAGCTGTGTAGAGAGTGAGATGATGAAGGTATCTTACTCTCTGATCATTAAGGAAACATGCTATGTTGAAGTGCTGGCTTCTCTGACAACAATGCAGCAGCCAGTATGTCCTCCTTCTAACTTTAGATTCTGCTCCTGAATGCTCTGGATTTGTTTGGACCAGAGAAGGTAGACGCTTTTAAGACCCCCGATGGAAGCGGGAAAGAGAACTGGTTCAGATAGAAGTGATTGTACCCCACCTAAAAAGCCAGGACGGGGCGTATAAAAGCTGTTTTGTAAGTTATATGTTATGTAAGCATTTTAGATATTAATTTACATGCAATGTGAAGCTATGAGCTAACTAAAGGGCGCTAACATTAGCATGCTAACACAAGAACGCAGGACACAGGTGATTGCAGCTCGAGCAAAGGACAACTTTGTCTGCCACTTTCAAAAACCACTTTGAGCGAATGTGAGTGGAGGGGGGTTGGAGGTGTGTCTCTGGAGGAGAGCGGAGGCTTTAGTATGGAGGAGGCGTGGCCAAACAGTAGTTTGTTTTGGTTTCATGCTGGAGCTCAAGGGCAACATCTACTGGCTAAAAAAGTTGCATTGTTCCTTTAATCATAGAGTAGAAGAATCAAGACCAAATGCAAGGTAATCAGAGATGAAGAAAAGATCACGTCTTTCTAAAAATGACAACCAAACAAAGAACCTTCAACTCTGATAATAACAATGAAAAAAGAGCGCTGACCGGATTCTTCTGAGTTGTATGTTTTCTCTTCGTCTGTTTGAGTTGATGCCTTTAAGTAAATAAAAGAAAAACAATGGTTGAAGAATAGTCAGACTTAGTGTCTGCTTACACAATCTGCTCCTTGTGGTTGCGTCACGTCTCGTTCTCAGCATCTGCCCTGCTCCCAAAGAGGCTAATCCGGGATCCTCCCTTTAGATCAACAATTTCCACAAACACATGCCAAACTGTTGAGTTGGAATCGGTGTCATGAACGTCCTTTCTCTAAGACAGGATATGAATGATAATAAATAAACTTGTCTTGGTTAGGAGAAAGACCCTTTTGCGTTAAACTTCTTTTGTTTTAACTGAAGGCCAGATGTAGTCAGGGTAAAACTGCAGCTGTAGTTCACTGTTTTAATTCACACTTTAACATACGTTAATATTAATCCCTTTAATTTCCCGACCTGCCCCTCCCTCATTAGCTCTTTGGCAGTAGGATGCCCAACCCATGCTGTTGAGTTGAGTCACAAATAAACATTTAATCGAGCCTTCATTTAGAATGAATACCTGGTGATGTAGGTGCAGTTAAAGCTGAAGGTAAAAGTCTTTTGAGATGACTTAACGTGCTCAGCATTAAAGTCAAACAGACATATTTTCCCTCTGGGTTTTTAAAATGTGTCCCATCGTATTTTATGATAGCCAATCTTATTGTGTCGTATCAAACTGTATCGTATGTTACTGCACCTCACCATGTCGTGTTGTATCATATCTATATCTATTAAAATAAAGAAATTCAATTCAAATAAAATTGTATCGTATTGTTGGGTATCGTAATTTAGGTATCATAATAATAATAATTGATCGTATCATATTGTAACGTTTTGGAATGGTAACGTTCCGTATCGTATTGTAACGTATCGTACTGTAACATATCATATTGTAACAGATCGTACCGTAACGTATATTGTAACATATATCGTAACGTATATTGTAACATATATCGTAACGTATCACATCTTAACATATCATATCGTAACATATCATATTGCAACATTTCATATCGTAACGTATCACATCGTAACATTTCATATCGTATTGTATCATGTCGTAACGTTTCATATTGTAATGTTCATATCGTAACGTATCGTACTGTAACGTTTCATATCGTAACATATATTGTAACGTACCATACTGCAACGTTTCATATTGTAACATATATCGTAACGTATCATATCGTAGCGTATCATATCGTAACGTATCATATCGTAAAAAACATATCATATCGTAACGTTTGATACGTAACGTTTCATATCGTAACATATCATATCGTAACATATATCATTACATATATCGTAACGTTTCATATCGTAAAGTTTCATATCGTAACGTTTCATATCGTAAAGTTTCATATCGTAACGTATCATATCGTAACGTATCATATCGTAACGTATCATATCGTAACGTATCATATCGTAACGTATCATATCGTAACGTATCATATCGTAACGTTTCATATCGTAACGTGTCATATCGTAACGTTTCATATCGTAACGTTTCATATCGTAACGTTTCATATCGTAACGTGTCATATCGTAACGTGTCATATCGTAACGTTTCATATCGTAACGTGTCATATCGTAACGTGTCATATCGTAACGTGTCATATCGTAACGTCTCATATCGTAACGTGTCATATCGTAACGTGTCATATCGTAACGTGTCATATCGTAACGTGTCATATCGTAAGTCGTTGATGACGAAGTGGCAGCCGAACATTTTCTCACCGCTGGTCGATTAAACTCGGAGCCCTTTTTGCAGAAACGAGTGCCCGGCTCCTCCAGTCAGTGGCGTCAACCACCAAACGGTTTCCCATCCTGACCACTTTCTAAAGTCTAACATTACAACATCATGTTTCATCGTATCATAATGTATGGAATCATATTAAACGCACCTTATCGTATCATAGCATATCGTACAGTCTGGTACAGAATCATATCAAAACAAAGGGATTGTATCATCATGTCTCCTAGCTTAAAGCTCTTTATGATGCTAATGTTTGAGATTAAATATTTAGAATTCTACAGAGTCATGACAGAGCTGGACCGTCCTGCACAAGGGATCAATGGAGAACGTCATGACTCTCTCACATGGACCTGAAGCTCAGAAGTAACAGCAGGCGTGCTGAGGTTTAGAGGGATAAGCTCCATCAAATCCTTCCAGATTGATCTTTGACACCGTCTACCCAGCGGAGGGCGCCGCTTCCTTAACATGGCAGGTATAGAGGGCAGCGGTGGGGGAGTGAAGGTAACGAGGACACAGGGGGGGGAGAGAGGGGGGTGATGCTGGTTTTCTCAGAGGTGTTTGGCTTGACCCTTTTCGCCGACCATGTGACTGGAAAGAGGAGGATGTGAGGATTAGAGGTGGAGATATAAAAGTGGAGAAGCAGACGACACATTTCACAAAGTCAAGAAGACAAAAGAAGCAGCTTTGAGAAGACGTGGAGCGTGACCCCCGGGATATCTGTGACAACAGGTGAGGACGCTCTACTGAGCATGATGACTGCTGCTTTTACAACTTTTATATATATTACACATTACAATCATTCTTCATGAGTACATTTATCAACTTTTGGTAAAGATTAGATGAGGACGGCTTCACACACATGCATGTCTTTACTTTTACTTTAAATGTTTCTGTGCATGCAAACTGTGAAATGATGCAAAGGAAAGCTTTTCAAATCAATTTAAACAAAACAAGATGAGATGGAAAATGTTGTTTTCTTACTTTTGTGCAAGAAAATTTGAATTTAGTCCAAATCAGAATCAGAGAAGAGAATGATTGACTGTATTTTGGTGATTTTTATTGAAGCCCACAGTGGACATCCAAGCATGCATTTGATTTGAATCTTCATTTCCTTTGATTACGAGGAGATCTCGGTTGTTTTCTCAAGATCTGAATTTACACATGTCGTTATCTTGGGATTAACAACTCTGTTTTTTTCCTGTGATAACGAGTTAATTCCCTCGATGTCTCAAGAAAACGATTTACATCGACTCGTTGTCACAGGAAAACTGAGTCAAATCAAATGTATGGATGTAAATTTGAGAATAAAAAGAAAAAAGAAAAAAAGCTAAAAAAAAAACTAGCCATCTTAACTCCTACTGTCGGGAAACTTTGGAAAGGTGACTTCAGACCAACATGTAATCGTTCTTAGAAAGAGAGTTAAAGGACTTAGAGGGAAACTCAAAGGAGAGAACAGGTGTCTGCAAAGGTGATTATCTCTCAGGGCGAAGATGGCAGCGACAACATGTTGAGCAACGCCTCGACCGCAGCTCCACATACGAGGCTCTGCCACCGCAATGTAGATCTGCTGACGATGATTTAAGATGAACACTGAAGTTTGAGTTACATAAAGTGCTAAACAGGGTCGTTTTCCACCTGAGATGAGTTGTTGTTAACAGGATTATCAGTGTCAGCAGTCAGCGGAGGGGAGGTCAGGAACAGGGCTTAGACTGGATACTGTTCAGGATCAGGTCTGGGATCAGGACAAGAGGGATAGACGGGGAGTTCTGCTCTAGAAAGTTCTGGACAGAAATCGCTTGTTGATGCATCTTCACACTCGTCATACTCAACATTTACGGACAAAATATGACCACATTTATATCTAAGAAAGACATGGACTGTAGAAGCTGCACATTCAGTATTTGGGGGGAGTAGAGGCTGCGTTCCCTTTTGCACATGGTGTCCCTGTTGTTCAAGAAGGGCAATTAGTGGGCTGTGGATGAGAGCAGGATTACAGCTAATCTGGTTGTTCAAGCTAATCTGCATAATCTGCATTGAGAGATGAAGCAGGATTAAGAGAGGACAGCAGCGACGGAGCAAGAGAGAGAGAGAGAGAGAGAGAGAGAGAGAGAGAGAGGACAAAAGAGGAGCATGTGATCTTTAATGGGATGAAACCTTGTTTCAAAAGAAATAACCTCGTCTGTTGTTGTGCTTTTCTTCCAGAGACCCTCAGCTGAAATGAACGCCAACCCCCCTGCAGGAAGCGCCCTGGCCCCTGGTGGAGCCACTGGGCCCACAACACCCAAGAAAGGCCCCCCCAAGTTCAAGCAGAGGCAGACCCGCACATTCAAGAGCAAGGCCCCCAAACCAGGCCAGAAGGGGTAAGAAGAAGAAAAAACACACTCGAGTCGTTTTCTATCAGATCCAAATCGCTCTGAGTCACTCACTCCTCTCTCGTTTCCTCTCCTGCAGCTTCGGCGACGACATCCCCGGCATGGAGGGTCTCGGCACAGACATCACCGTGGTGTGCCCATGGGAAGCCTTCGGCGACATGGAGCTCAGCGACTTGGCCAAATACGGCATCATCTAAACCTGCTGCCTCCTGCCTTCCTCGCCTGCCTGATCCTCTCCTCCGCCTCCTCCCCCTCCTCCCCCTCCTCCCCCTCCACCCTACCTCAGCCCGGCACGCCGCGATAAGGTTGCCGGGGAACCCCCCTAATGCCCCCTCGTCTATCTACCTCGAGCTCGTCTCCACTGAGTGGACGGAGAGCGTAATGATGTTCTTATTTTTATTTTATTATATGATACTGTTTAAAGTATATATACTTGAAACCAGAAGACGAGATAAATGCCTCCACATACCCTGTCCCCCTCTCCTTCTAAAATAGACCTCTCCTCACTTCTCCCCCCTCCCTTCATTCGGACGCCCCCCGCCCCCCTCCCCACCCCGGCAATGGACGCAAGCAAAACCCTGGTTAACACTAGCTTGGATTTGCTTCTAGCAGTCTATTAAAATGTAAATATGTTTCAGTGTTGAACCTTTAAACCTTGTCTTCCGTCCCACCTTTTTTATTCCCCCCCCCCACCCCCTTTTCTTGTATTTCACATTGTATTTCCACACCTTGTGCACAAGGTCGCTGTAAACACCAGGAGGAAGCGAGCAGAGCGTGCAGACATGCTGTAACGGTGAAAAAAACCCACCATACACTTTGACTCGACCGTGGAGGATGAAGTCCCCTCTCTCTCTCTCTCTCTCTGTCCTCTGTCTCTCTCTCCTCGCTGCTATCTCAACCCTCCTTCTAGACCGCATGAAAACATATAAACAAACGCTTTGAGTGGCGAGCGCAACAATACCAGAGGAAATGTATCCAGGAGCTGGTTGTGTCCTGATAGCTGCAGTAAAGTGTGTTTTATTTTTAGAGCTCATGTTGTCTGTGTCTTTATTTCTCTTCATTAAAACGCTGGATGGAGTCGTGTGCTGCAAATAAAAAACATGATCATCATCAAAAAAAACTGCTGAGAATCACAAGAATCTTTAATAACAAAACTAAATGAATGTTTTCTGTTCTTGTTACTGCTGTCATGACGAGAGTCTAAATGAAGTCCACGAGCTCCAGGAAGCTCTGAGAATAAACTCCTGAGAAACATTCAAGGAAAACAGAAACTTTTCCTGCAGATTAAAATACTGAGGGCCTGATTCTGCGTTCTCGAAACCCTCTGCACGAGAGGATACGACAGCGTGCGATCCACAAAGTGTGAAATTAACCCAAACTGCACCGCCAAGCAGACCACGTCCTGATCCAGTCTGTCCCATTAACATCTACAGTTTGTACATTATTCCAAAATCCTGCACAAAGTTTCCCCCCTCCTCTACAGAAAAGCCTCTTTGTAAATACCATCTAATCCACAAAGAGCAGCGCTAACTGCTACAGGAAGTAGCAGTGGTGCTATTTAACGCCATCGAGACCCGAATGAAACCCAAAAGGTCAGCATGTTGAATCCAGCGGGTCGTAACTGTGGTGCAGTATTCATCAGAGATAAACGGGGTTTCCTGCTGCTCTGAACGAGACGTCAGGTGCTGCCGACGTATCAGAGCAAAGCATGGAGCTAGGTTGTAGGCCACGCCCACCAGGAAGCTCACTCAAATGTCTTCACCAGATTTATCCAACTGCTGTGTTTCTCAAAAAAAGGTTAAATTTTGATGTGAACCCTCATGCTTTCTGTGGTGAGTCTGAAGAGACCTGAGAGCACCTGTTTGTATTCTGTCCTGTGTCTCATTTTGGTTTATAGAAGGGGGCGGGGCCTTAAAGAGACAGCAGCTGAAATGAAGCGTTTCAGGCAGAGGCTGAAATGATTGACTGACACAGATGACAGATTTTCTTTGAACTTGAGAGAACTTGAAATATTCATTTCTGTCAGGACCTAAAGACTACTTCAACAAACATTTTTTAAAAGTGAATCTGGAGGAAATGACCGACCCTGTTTTTAAGCTTTCAGCCTGATGTCAGTTATAACCTGAGATTTCTTCTCACATGACGACATGTTTACTCGTCTCTGGTTGGTCGAAATGTTGTGATTAATAAACATCTACATGGACCAGAGAAGCACGATGATAATAAAGATAAATATCTGCCCGTCTGTGTTTAACCCCCACAGAGAGTTACAGAGTTAAAGGCTGAACCTCACACACCCTGTAAACGCCGACGTGTTCAGACTCGAGGAGATCCGTTTCTCTTCCTCTGTTCCTCATGTTGTTGCTGTGGATTACCTGTAACTAAGGTGACGTCTCTCACTTGGACTCTCCCTAAAAAACAAAATCCTGAACCCCACCCTCCCCGAGCACTCGGTCCAGACTCTCCGGTTTATCCAAATACACGCTTGTAATCCAGAGAGGGGAGGCAAAACTTTATGGGAAATGTATTCATAAGTAGGGAGGAGTGTACTCTGTGTGTGCATGTGTGCGTGTGTGCGTGTGTGTGTGTGTGTGTGCCTCTTCACCTCCAGGTGTGAGAGCCCCACCTATACTCTGAGGGCGGGGCAGACAGGAGGGGGGGGGCAGGTTTCTCTGCTTTTGCTCGACCTGTTGATGCAAAGTGGAATCATTCATCAGACATTTGTCTCCGTCTTCTTCTGCTCTTGATTTCACCTTGACGGGCACAAACATGGACGTGTCTTCAGGATAAGAGGAGCTTGTAAAGTCGACGCTAAAGCTCCAGGAAGACGATCTGTGGCAACTTGAAGTTTAGACTTTTAGGAGTTAAAGATCCAGACTTGTTTCCTGAAGGAGAGACGGTAAGTTCTTCTGTTTTTTTGTAAAAGTTTGGACAGGTTTTGGAGATTAAGTTAAACAGCTGAAGTGTACAAATTATTATTTTACATCTTGATGATGTTGGGACTCGATCGACTTTGAGCTTCATTAAACTGAGCTGAATAAATCCTGCAGGCCTCTCCATTCTTCATTCACTCATCTCTCGTTTCACAAACCGTCCCCCGCTCTGTTTGACCTCCATCACATAAAGTCTCCTCTTGTGTTAAAGATTTAAATTTGTATTTATCAGCGATAAGAATCTGAAAGTTCACATACTGTGCGACCATGTGGCAGGGAAACAAAGGTTCAGTTATGAGCTGCAGGAAGTGTCAGTGTGCTATCAGGAGAGGACATCAGACTGCACTGTCATAGCTGATTTCACACCTGCAGAAACCTCCTGAAGTGTTCTCACTCTGAGCGTCATGTGATCACTCAAACATCTGAATGTTTCTCTCTTCACTCTGAGCGTCATGTGATCACTCAAACATCTGAATGTTTCTCTCTTCACTCTGAGCGTCATGTGATCACTCAAACATCTGAATGTTTCTCTCTTCACTCAGAGTTTCTCCTCCAGCCTCCTCGTATTTATTCTGCAGAAAGTCAGAGTGAGCTGATGTGAGAACACAGCAGGATATAATCAGGAGAATTCACCTGGAGCCAGTGGGAGGGGCCAGTGGGAGGGGGCGGTGACCTTTATTCCCTGTGATCGCTGCACGACCATAGACTGTCTGCATGCCACCTCTACCATCTCCGTGCTCTAATCAACCTGCTGCTGCATGTTTCCTGTTCTCCAGGATGTTCTTCTCCTCTCTTTACTTCACATTGAGATTCATTGATACAAACACACATATTCTCATCATAGAGTCCTATGGAGGACTCTGATGCTTCATCCACTATCATACTGTCCTACCTCAGGAGACCCCCCCTCCTGTCTGACAGGGATCGTCCCCCGCTGTGAGGTGCACGTGTGAACAACCAGATCAGGAGGATTTCAGGAGCAGTCCTTCTGAAGTTATCTAGATTTTTTCTGGTAAATGATGTCATCGTGATGATGTCATCGTGATGATGTCATCGTGATGTGAGGTATTCACAGCAGCTGATGAATACATGAGGTCAAAAGTCCCAGTGCTGAGGACGCTGTGGCCTAGTGGTTTTGTTGCATTCCCTGTTTACAGAGGCTAAAGTCCTGGTTGAAGTGGCCATGGGTTCGATTCCGACCTCTGCCCTTTGGTGCATGTCGCCCCCCCCTCCTCCCAACACTTCCTGTCTCTCTTCAGCTGGCCTATCGAATGAGTCGTAGCATTCCTCTTAGTCAGAACAGTCTGAAGCTGTACAGACGATAAAACAGATTGAATATTTCCTGATCGCTCTACGACGCTCCAGAAACAGATTTCAGTCTTAACCTCCCCTCCATGTATCGTTGTTGCACATTTACCACTGTCATCACTGTTTTTACAAACTTACATCTCTTACCTCCAGCAAGTAGTTTTTATTTCTTTTTTTTATAAACCAGTAGGAATGTTAAGTTAAAACTCTTCCTTTTCTTATTTTTTAGTGTTTATTTATGTTTCTATTCTTATATTGTTTTATTTGCTGTAACGCCACAACTTACCAGTTTGGAATCAATAAAGTCATTCTATTCTATTTTATTCTATTCTATGTTCCCGTCGTCTCTCTCACCCGCTCTGACTCCTCTCGTCTTGTTCCGACATGTTTATGACTCAACCTGTCAAATCACTCGTCTCCCTCGTTCTCTTTTCCACGCTGTGACCTTTGACCTCTCCTGTCTTCTGTTGTACACGTTCAGGTGAATCCAAACTTCTACATGTTTAGTGTTTCTGCTGACGTGAGCTTTTTCTTTTTCAGGGGAAACGACCTTCAACATCAAAGGAAAACTAAAGAAAAGAGCGTCTTGAGTCTCCGCGTGGATAAAAGAATAATGTCTCAGAACAGGCCCCTCCTCCCCGTCCTCGCCCTCCTCCTCCTCTGCGTCCCTCTCTCGTGTCTCAGTCAGGACAGCAGGTCAGCCAACGCCACGACAAACACGCCAACCCATGCTGCTCCGTCCTCAAACGTCACGTCTCTGAACGGCGTGCCGGGCTGCAGGTCGGGACTGAACGCCGTCTACAGGTTCCTGTGTGACCGCCGGGCAGCGTGGGGCATCGTCCTGGAGACCCTGGCGTCCGCAGGCTTCGTGTTCAGCATGTGTCTCCTGGTCAGCCTGCTGGTCTGGTCGCTCTGGGTCTGCCTTTCATCCAGGCAGCAGAACAGCAACAGCAGCAGTATCGGCGGCACGGTGGCGTGCATGTCCATGTTCCTGTTGGCGACCGCCGGGATCTTCGCCATCACCTTCTCCTTCATCGTCCGCCTCACGCCTCAGACCTGCCCCACCCGCCTCTTCCTCTTCGCCGTGCTCTTCTCGCTGGCCTTCTCCTGCCTGCTCGCTCGCTGCCTTGCTCTGCTGGGCTTCGGCGCCGCCCGTGGTTGGGGGGAGCCCGGCGTGGCGCTGGGGCTCTTCATGGTGCAGGTCATCATCTGTACGGAGTGGCTGATCCTCGTGCTGCTGCGGGAGAGGAAGCCGTGTGCGTACAGCCAGGACGAGTTCGTCATGCTGCAGATTTACGTGATGTGCCTCCTCGCCATCAGCCTCATCCTGTCCTTGCGCTTCCTGTGCCGCTCCTGCTTCACCTACAGCTACAGCTACAACGGCCCCGCCCACCAGCACTGGAGGGTGCACGCCGCGCTCCTCTTCCTCACCTTGATGCTCTCCACCTGCATCTGGGTGGTGTGGATCACCATGCTCACCTGGGGGAACCCCGAGGTGGACCGCCGGCCGCAGTGGGACGACCCGGTGCTGTCCATCGCCCTGGTGGCGAACGGGTGGGTGCTGCTGATGGGGCACGGGTTGTCGCAGGTCGCCTTCCTCTGTAGGGGCGAGGCCAAGTCCAAAGACGCCCCCCTGAGCTTTGCCGGTTGGACCAGCCCCAGCGCCGACATCCCGGGACTGAACAGCCCGACGGCGGGGAAGGACAACGGAAGCTTTGAGAACGAGAGCGAGAACAGAAGAGGTGAGAAGCTGTCATCAGGAGGTCGTTTAGAGGTCGCTTAGAGGTGAACAGGGACGAGGGGTTCACAAAATAATTAAATAAATAACCCTAACGACAGGCTGAGAGCTGGAGCTGAGGCGGGTTTTAAACCTCCTGACAAACCGTTACACCGCGCCCACCTGTCAATCAGGTCAGCTACACGCCTTATTGTGAATAACTCTTATCCTTCATCAAATCAAAACTGATGAGTCATCAAAACATTCACCCCCCGTACAGTGTGTGTCGATTGAGGTGTGTTAAATCCTGCAGTTCCTGGAGTGTCCACTAGAGGCTGGCTGCAGAAGCACAGGAAGTCACATACACACCCATTCTAAAAAGCCTGTTTTTACAGCAGAGATGAACATGTTTACAGCCTGGTTCAAAAAACCAAATAGGTGTGATTAGCTCATGTCTGGATGGACACACACTGTACGGGGGGTGAATGTTTTGATGACTCATCAGTTTTGATTTGATGAAGGATGAAGAGTTATTCACAATAAGGCGTGTAGCTGACCTGGTGAATCAGCTGATCACCAGAGCAGGGAGATGGAGGGATAAAGTGTTTATCTAACCCAACAGATGGAATGTAGATGTAAGACAGATATCAGCTGATATATCGGTATCGTCCCTTATGACCCCCATATCAGTCAAATTTGACACATTACACCTCTAAGGTCAGAATAAAGATGGCGCTCTGCGGTTTGCTGTGACCTGAGCTCCTCCATCAGTCGGCTCTCTGATGAAGCACTAATGAGCTGATCTGTATCATACGTCTCGTTTCAGGCCCCAGAGCTCAGCCGTCTCTGCGATCGCCCTACGAGTCTGGATTCTCCATGTCGGTGAGTAATTCATCGTTAAGATTAACCCCCCCCTCCCCCTCCCCCCTCCCCCCTCCTGCTGTAAGGTTAATGAAAGCTCTGTTCATTAATCACAGCAACATGATTCATGTCTGATTCTGTGTTTCAGGAAATCGACCCTGTCAAGGATTATACCATCCCCCGCCCTCAGACCACCACCTACCAGGAGCCGTACGATGAATATTACGATCAGGATTAATCTCACTTTGTCACACGTGAACTCCTTCAAACGAGAACTGAAGCTGTAGGCGACGCCCCCCGGCTCGTGCAAACTGCACCCTGCTTTTATCGCTGTTTTGTAAATGTTTGCCTTTAGTGTTCAAAGAAACGTCACATGTCGTCGCCCGGATGTTTAAAGCTTGTATCCCCAAAAAGAAAGAGAGCGTGTCTCTATGACTCATCATGGCTGAGGCTCGGCGGCTTCACAGCGGCGTCCGCCTTTCCTTCAGGCGGGAAAATCTCCAAACAAAAGCAAAGTGGAAGTGAGATCGTACAACGGTGTCTGAAATCACCCTGAGGGGGAAGAAGAGGCGGGAAAGTGCTAAACTGCTGAGCAGAAATAAAGTGTCTGTGAGGAGGAGGAGGAAGAGGAGGAGGAAGAGGAAGAGGAGGGGGGAGGAGGAAGAGGGGGGGAGGGGGAAGAGGAGGAATAGGAGGAGGAGGAGGAAGAGGAGGAAGAATAGGAGGAGGAGGGACATGAGATGAGACTCGACAGGAGGACAGGAGACGTGTCAGCACTTTGGAGACTCGTGTCATCCTTCATCATCGTCTTCATTTTCTCAAACTGTCCGAGCTCCTGCACAAAAATCTAAACAACAGAAAAAGAGGGATGTGTGTGTTATGTGTGCGTTGTGTGTTTTGTGTGTTTGTAAAGACGCTTCTGATGTGTTTTTCCTTCATTGTTTGTGATGCGTCTTCAATAAAAGGTTTGTAAATAAAAAGAAAATGATTTCTGTAATTAAATCCTGAAGCAGCTCAACTTCAAACATCCATTCAAAATATGAGATCTGTAAATGTGTTCACGTCTCTCCTGCGACTCAAAATCTACATTTTGAAGAACCAGGGGCGGTTTCTCTCTCAGACCAGATTCAGATTCTCGCCTCCTGGTGACCTGCTGTAACCTGCAGAGATGCAGTACTGCGGTTTTACCACCAGGGGGCATTATTTAGTCATAGCAGCTTTAGGCTGACCTGAAAAGATTTTTTTTTTTCAACATTTTTAAACTGTTGCCTTGGATTTATCAAACTTGTAGTAATCAGACAATAAAGAATAAATGGAACGCTTTGAATCAGCTGATCATAATCGGTCTGTTTGTCCTGCAGTGATTTCCACAAAGGTCAATCCATCACTTGAAGGGATACGATCTACACACACACAGACACACACACAGACACACACACACCCTCTTATCGGACAACGTTCAATCTATTCTTCCAATTAGCCCGACTTCAATTACTCAGAGAGAGCGAGCCATCAAATTGGCAATTGGCCTCTTGTGCATCCGAGCAATTAACGGCGATATGAGGATTCCCGCCCATTTGCAGCCATTAAAACTCCAGATGCAATTAAAGATTGTTCCAGATTCAGTCGTCGTCTCTCTGACTGCTGAGGAGGAAAACGTTTCTGCAGTCTGACGAGAAGACAACGCAGCTTTTTCTATAATTAATTAATGAGACGCTTTAATGCAAAGTGATGAACTTCAGAGTAAGAACACGAGGAAGGCTCTAGAGAGGAGACAACGACAGGAAGTGAAATCAAACAGCTTTGAGTCTGTCACAGGTGCTGACAGGAAGTGACCAGAGGCTGAGTTCTTTTTTATATAACTTAAGTTAATATATCATCATCATCATCATCCTCAGTAAGTCGACGGTGTTCATGAAAGAGCTGGCTCTTTAGCTTTTTCTTAAAGGTGCAGAGGGAGTTTGGAAGTTCATTCCACCACCGGGGGGCGACAGAGGAGAAGAGTCTAGTCAGAGACTTAGGACCCTGTTGTGAAGGTTGGATCAGACGCCTTTCATTGGCAGAGCGTGGTGGGGGGGAGGGAGTGTAGACCTGGATCAGAGAGTTAAAGTAAGGAGGAGACGTTTCTGTGTCTGTTTTGTAAGCGAGCAGCAGAGTTTTAAATGTGATGTGAGCACTAACTGGGAGCCAGAGGAGGGAGAGAACAGCTGATGCGTTTTGGATCCTCTGCAGAGGTTTGATAGTTCATGAAGAGAGCCTTCAGCATGAACTCAATACAAAAGAAGCTTCCTCTTGCTTTTTGCTGCTTCCTGATTGGATAACATCACTCTAACTAAACTCTGGACATAAAATCAGATTCAGACAATAATAGGAAGGAAGTGATGTCATGGTGAGCAGCCGAGCAGAGAGGGAGGAACAGGGCATGCACGGGGAACGGGTAAAAAAAACCAGTCCGAGAGCAGCGTGTAAAAACCAAACAGTTGATTTATTATATACATTCAATAATAATGAAGAATAAACAGAAGGCAGACACGAGGATGGCAAAAAGAAAACTGAAAAAAACAAACACGTCACTTATTGAAAAATAAAATAAAACACTTGGATGATGAGCTTTGAAGAGCGTGAGATCAAAATCAATCACGTGCAGTTTCAACTCGTTGAGTAAAATCCCTGTACAAAACAAAAGAAGAAGAAAGAAAAACTCCCACTGGGTTGACGTGAGCACAGCGCGGGGAGGCGGGGCCAGCAGGCGAGGAGGATCGTTTTCAGAAAATATTTCATCTGACTAGAAGAGACGCAAACGAGCAAATTCTACGACCGGGGAGTCACAGCCACCGCGTTTATCCACCATAGCACCAGATGAGAAGATGCTAACTGAGCGTATCATACCGCGTAGCATCTCTGCTAGGAGGTGACTCCAAAGTTAACGCCGCCATTTTGAGGACTCTTCTTTGTTTGCCCCATAAAGGATCCCGCTGCAGAATCACACAGAGCGTCTCTGCTGCGGTTTCCTGAAAAAGGGAAAAGTTTCTAAGTAGAGGAAGTCCTCTACACGTGGACAAATCGTTGGTGATTTTCTTTCTCTCGTTGTTTTTAGATTTATTTTTAAGGGTCCAGGCAAATCCAACTTCAAATATCTGATATGACTGCTGCTGGTTACCACGGCGATCACAGCGGCACAGAGCAGAGATAACCGGGATTATTGAAGCGGGAAGAATCCGCTCCCATAATGCGGCCGAGCTCCCCCCCCTCCTCCTCCCCCTCCCTCCTCCTCCTCCTCCAGACACTCGGTACCAAAACTTTACTTTGACTGTTCGTCACTCCTGTCGCCTCACATCGCACAACATCCCAGATCATCCTCATCCCCCCCCCCGCCTCGCCTCACCCCCCTCCCCCTCCTCCTCCTCCAGCACTAGGATTTGAATTCATGCACAAATGAAATCTCCGACCGACGACCTTCGTCCTGCACAAAAGCATGCATAGCAACACTTCTGATAATACTTGTAAGGAATAAAAAGACAAAAAAAGAAGAAGAGGTAATGCGCGTCAAAAAAAGACTCATTGGACCTACTGCACACGGTTTTCACAATCGTACAAAAACATCATGATCCCTCGTCGCCCTGAGCGCCGCACTGCACCCCCTGAAATTCTTCTTCTCTTTATAAAAAAAACCGACAGCAGGGGACGTTGTTATTCTGTCAGCGAGTGATTAATGGCTCGGCTCGTCACCTTCCCTCCACTCAGCGCCCACACATTGTTTTATTGTTCAGAGAGGTGGTCTCAGCTGTGAGGACGCGTCCCCTCTGTTCCTCTCGCTGTAATTTGGCCCTTACTTACAAACGGCCCCTCTTTTATTTCTGCACGTCCCTCATGACTCCATCGCCTCTGATTTCCCCTCGTCTGCAGCCAAACAATAAACCACAGCCACGCTCCCAATTCAACACGACCCGGTTTGTTTGGTTTGCCGCTCACAATTCCCTAAATCGCTGCAACCCTTCTTTTTTTTTGCTGCTTTTAGTGCCATTTCCCAGAGTGCTGTTTAAACACGGCACCGACCGATACAGCGGCAAAAAAAACAAAAAACAACAAAGCAAAAAAAGCAGAGAAACAAAAACACAACCACAAAAAAGAATATGAAATACATCAGGACCAAAACATGTGCTTCTGAAAATCTTTGGAACCAAAAACAAGTCAAAAAGAACGACGTAGTGAGAGTAAATGGAGACGTGGTACATACAGGACTCGCCCGTCTCATGACGCCTTCACACCAAACTTTAAAAAGCCTGAACGATCCCAAAGCGCCGTGAGGACGCTTTAAAACGATGACACCTTCAGACGGGGTCCTGTCTCTTTAAAAATGAGGAGTATAAATAGAAAATGATCAAAGACTCCCGGTACATGATAGCAGTCACGTTTGTTTACTTCCTGATCAGTCTGAGCGGCGGTAAGGACTCGATCCAGGAGGAGGGCGTCCCCGTTTTGGCGAGCTGATCGGGTCCTCCCCGCTGCAGATCTGAGCGGGTTCATGGTTCTGTTTGGAGCTCCTCGGGGATCTTCATCCATCTGAACCGGTTTCCTTCGCTGCTGCTGGAATGTGAGACGGTTCAGGATCGAGGATTTAACGGGGGGGGGGGCACAGGGTCGGATCAGAGGCGGGACACACTGATCCACTTCCTGTTTTAGTGTTGCAGTTACAGTCATACGGGGGGGAATATGTGGAGCAGCAGACGGGACAGATGAACGGCTTCTTCTTCTCTGAAATGGACACTTTCTACTCGATCTCGCTCGCAGCTTCTTCTGATTGGCAGCAAAGACAGAAAAACTGAGGTAATGAAGAAAGAGTCACTTTTAGTTTCTCCTTTTTGTAACTCTGTAGTTCGGGGGGGGGGGGGGAGTTTAAAAATGACACAAAGAGAGACGTGATCCCATGCTGCGTTCACTTTGTTGTCGGTTCGCTCCAGCTCGACGTCCTGATGCACGCCTTCCTCCGCTCCGGCGAGTCCCATTGGTTTGTGCATCTTTAGGGGGCGGGACTCTGCAGCTTTCATTTCATGTAGTGTTTGTAAATATGAGTATCGTTTAAAGTGAAGCGGGCGGAAACAGAAGGAGAACGTTGATGTGTGACGGACAGTTCAGGAACACGAAGAAGAAGAAGAAGAAGAAGAAGAAGTTTAGAGTGGGCGAGCAGCATCTCTCTCTCCTCTCTGCATTTTTCTCGCAGTTGGAAGTTTCCCGCTGCGCCTTTTTTTTTTGAGACGCTCGTGGCAGTTTGTGTTTCCCCGTCAGAGAAGAGCTCAGGAACAGATGATGGAGCGAGAGAGAGAGAGAGAGAGAGAGAGAGAGAGAGAGAGAGAGAGAGAGAGAGAGAGAGAGAGAGAGAGACAGAGAGAGAGAGAGAGAGAGAGAGAGAGAGAGAGAGAGAGAGAGACAGAGAGAGAGAGAGAGAGAGAGAGAGAGAGAGAGAGAGAGAGAGAGAGAGAGGGGGAGAGAGAGAGAGAGAGAGAGAGAGAGAGAGAGAGAGAGACAGAGAGAGAGACAGAGAGAGAGAGAGACAGAGAGAGAGAGAGAGAGAGAGAGAGAGAGAGAGGGAGAGAGAGAGAGAGAGAGAGAGAGAGAGAGAGAGAGAGAGAGAGAGAGAGAGAGAGAGAGAGAGAGAGAGACAGAGAGAGAGACAGAGAGAGAGAGAGAGAGAGGGGGGGGGAGAGAGAGAGAGAGAGAGAGAGAGAGAGAGAGAGAGAGAGAGAGCAGTGGCTGAAGTCCGTCTGCAGGGAGATGAAGAGGAGCTGCTGCCAAACAAAGAGCTTAAAAAAAAAGAAAAAGGGAGGTGGTTTGGAGCGATGTGAGATTCCTCGGGTGTGGTTTGTGTTTTTTTTAGTACGGAGCGAACCGGCTGTATCCCGCCCGGTATAAACTCGCCTGCAGGAGACACAAAGGACAAAAACAAAAATCACTTTAATTACATCTTTATTCTGATTTTATGTTCCCAGATGTTTTTCTGAAACACATCCTGCACACGACTAATACTGGAGGAGAAATCAGGAAGAGACAGAATCGGGAATGACATGCGGGGGGAGCCACAGGCGGGATTCAAACCCGGGACGCCAGCTCGGAGGACTACTGCCTTGGTACATGGGGCTTGCAAACTAACCACTACCACATCCTCCTCGCTCTTAGTCTGATCGGGAAATAAACAATCTCGAATATAAAACATGCAGTAAAAAGTAACAGAGCAGTGTTGCTCATATAGCGGTCGTTGTCAACAGACTGTTGCCATGGAGACAGGACGGACGAGAAGCACTTTTCTTCTAAGCGCACAAACGCTTCATGTAAAAGCTCACGAGCACGAGGGCCACGGGGCCTTAAGGTCACAAATGTGGCAATGTGTCATACATATTTTTAAAGGCAGATTAAGTGTACTGTCCCTTTAAGAGGAAAGTGTTACACGCTAACTACTTCCTGTTTCCTTCACGGTTTTACTCACCATGGCTCCGACTCCGTAAGCAGCAGCAGCTGGACTTAAAGCGTGGTAGGGGTCTGTGGTGTACACACGGCCATAACTGGAAACACACACACACACACACACACACACACACACCAGGTTATTCACTGAACGTCTCTGCAGATAATATTCTCCTGACCTTGGATTCCTCCTTACACTCTCTGTCTCAATGTGTGTGTGTGTGTGTGTGTGTGTGTGTGTGTGCTGCGTGTTCTGGGTTGACCTCACCTGTCACTGTAGGCAGCAGCAGCGGCGGTTGCTCCGGTTACAGCGGCGGGCTGAGCATAGCGATAGGCAGCAGCGGCGGCGGCAGCAGCTGCAGGATAGCCTCCCTGTAAACACACACACACACACACACACACACACGTCAGAGATTAATCACAGGAGGATCACACACCTGGGTCAAGGTGTGTTTGATTAAGGGGGCGGGGCTTATATAGAAATGGAAAATACTGACGAGAAACACTTCAACGTGATAATCAGACACTAAGATTAGTGTTTATTTTGAATGAATGTGATATTTAAACTATAGCTGCCAAACTATTAACTCTTTAAGTCCTCATTAATCGTGTCTTCATTTACAAACATCTGTCTTCAACGTTTCTGTGAACATTTTATTAAAGGGGACATATTCTGAAAAATCCACTTTTAGTGTTTGTGAACATATATCTGTGTAACCTGAGAGTCTACTGACCCACAACATGTGAAATAAACCATCCAGTCCTTTGTTTGTGGTCTGCATAAGTCTTACAACACAGAGAAGCTCTGTTTCTAATGTGCTCTCCTTGTGATGTCACAGTGGGATTCTTGTGAAAAATTTCTGGGGGCTCATTACATTTAAAGAGACACACACACCAAAACGGAGCGTTCTGAGAGAGCTGGTTTATACAGGGTCACAAACCTCCTCTGGTGCTTGATTCATGTTATATTCTGACCAAAGCACAGATGTTTCATTTAGACCACAGGGGACTGTTTGAAAAGGTGGAGGAGGACTGTTTGAAAAGGTGGAGGAGGGGACTGTTTGAAAAGGTGGAGGAGGGGACTGTTTGAAAAGGTGGAGGAGGGGACTGTTTGAAAAGGTGGAGGAGGGGACTGTTTGAAAAGGGGAGGAGGGGACTGTTTGAAAAGGTGGAGGAGGAGGACTGTTTGAAAAGGTGGAGGAGGGGACTGTTTGAAAAGGTGGAGGAGGGACTGTTTGAAAAGGTGGAGGAGGGGACTGTTTAAAAAGGTGGAGGAGGGGACTGTTTGAAAAGGTGGAGGAGGGGACTGTTTGAAAAGGTGGAGGAGGGGACTGTTTGAAAAGGTGGAGGGGGGGGTGAAATGTCCTCTTTAAAGTACTTGCATATCTGAGTCTGAGTGTGTGTCAGTATTTTGCATTTCTATTAGAGGAGAAGGAGGTGTGATCTGAGATGAAGAAGGTTTAAAGAGAGACAGAAGACAGAAGTGGAGTTTGGGGGAGGGGGGTCGAGTTAGATCGTCATATAAAAACTACGGGAGGAGGGAGGGGTCAATTAAATATCCTCCACACATAAAGACATCTGATTGGACAGATTAGTGAGGAGGAACACCGGCTAGAAGAAGTTCAGATGTGTGTTTTCTGGAGACGGAAACAAAGAGAGGGAAGAAAGAAGCACACACACACACACGAACACGCACGAACACGCACGCACGCACGCACGCCTGAAACTCCGCCCTCACACTGACACCGCATGCACCGCCCAAATTAAACCTCCAAAAGTAAAAAACAAAAGACACAACACAGCACCAGCGCGGCGCGATCAGAAACAGAAAACAGCTGAGCATCCTGGGAAACAAGCATCAGAGGGAGAGAGAGGGAGCAAGGGCTTCTGGGTAAGCAGAGGAGGGAGGTCAAACAGTTTGTCTGCATGCATCATGCTGTAAAAACAACCCTGGGAGGGGTCAGGGGGCGGGGCAGGGTGGGGGTTAATCTAGGAAGTGATCATGTTCTCTGTCTCAAGTTCCCCGGCTCAGAGTGGCAGGACTTTTGCTGAAGAAAGATGGCCGCCACATTTAAAGCTGCAGCTTAAAAGTCAAATTCTCCTTGTTTGGTGTTTTGTTCTAAACAGGGACATCAGGTGTGTTGTCATTAAGTTAAGAGTGAGACACCGGCCTGAAGCTAACATGCATTCTTAACGATCTGATCTCAGGTGAACAGCTCTACGATCATCTGCTCATGCCTGAGGATGCATGTTAACACCGGGGGCGTAAACCTGGACTCTCACTGCATTCAGGGGGTTTCATTGAACAACAAAGCCCGTCGCCACCCGTGGAAAGAGGTGCAAACATTTCAGTGAGTTAGTAGGAAAACAAAACTTCAAAGCAGTGGTAGTTTTTAAATTTCTTCTTCTTCAGACGTCTAAAAGAGAATCAGAGGAGGTGTTACAGTCACAAAGAAAACACACTGTGGGTTCGGTTGACCCTACCTGAGGCAATCTGGGACTAAGGACTGAGTCCTGAAACACTAGTCTATAGAGAGAACAGAAACAACCGGTGTCAACCTGGATACACACACACACACACACACACACACACACACACACACACACACCAACAGTGAAGCACGCTGCCGAATCCGCCCACAGAGCAGCCTTACTTACACGTGTGTGTCAACCCAATGCGACCTGTTCTTACCCTCTTTTATCATCTTCTCATGAGATGGCGTTTGTTTTCATCATGTTGGATCTTTTTAAACAGCGAGTGGTTTGTTGTGTTTGGTTCGGCAGGCAGCTCTGTGCAGCGCATGACCGGACGCTCATGCAAAAAAATCAACAACCCCAAGAGGAGGAAAAAAGAGGAGCAGGAGAGAGGTGTGAGGGAGGAGGGAGGCGTGTCTGTGGGAGGTGAGTTTACTTACATACAAGTCTGCAGCTCCGTAAAACCCATCCTGATACACCACACTGAGAGAAGAAGAAGAAGAGGAGGGGGGGGGGGGGAGAGGGAGGGAGGGAGGGTGCAAACAGGGTGGTGCACAGACCCCAAAACCAGTGAAACAACACGGCAGGAAGAGGAGACAAAGAGAGAGAGAGAGAGAGAGAGAGAGAGAGAGTTATTTCACACCCATGCAGCATGCAGAGGAAATACAACTTCCATCTAAGCTCCACATAACAGTAAAAATGCATATTTGTTGCTATGGAAACAGCGATGACACATCACAGTGCGGGTAGTCACGGACTCGATCTGTTTAACTTTACTCCCCCCAAAAATGTCTTCGTTGTTGAAGCGGCTCTCTGGCGTCTCCGATGGTCGTCATTTCTGGTCTTTCATCAACATATATAACTCTACACTGCCCCTAGTGGTTTATATCCACACTGCATCTCGCAGACGTGTAGCGTTAATCTTAGGACGTGCTCCAAAAACGCTGCAGGATACGCAAGGATGATGTGGTTAAAAGCAAGTGTTTGTACATCAGACAGTGTGCAGGAGTTCACCTGTAACTTCTGATCATTTAAAACCAGAAATCACTCAACTTCTGGGCGCCTATGACTTCTGTTTCTGTTGCCATGGTGACAAAACAGGTCTCGATATTTCATATTTTTACCAGGGTTTTAAAGGTTTGTCTGATGGACTTCAGTGGAGCAAACATGGAGAGGGGTATTTCCTGCGTTCCCTCCGATTTCATCTTGTTTATTTCATTCACGTGTAACATGTCATCACAGCCGCGGGCGCCATTAACCAATCGATTCTGCTTTGATGTGAATACAACGGCAGTCACAAACCCATTAGCCAATCAGCACGGCACAGCAACAACATGCACAATACACACATTACAAAAACCAGTTCAGGAGAGAATCTGTGCAGGGCGACTGTTTCTGCATTATGACTGCATGCTCTCTCTGTGTGTGTGTGTGTGTGTGTGTGTGTGTGTGTGTGTGTGTGTGTGTGTTTTTGTTCAAATGGGCCGATGCTTCTCTCTGTGTGTTTATTCAAACCCTCAAATGGTGCAATCCCATTAGTGCGTCACGCTCGGCTGAATAGCTGGCGAGCTGACTGACAGAGCCGGCGTGCGCTCTGAGGGGAGCGCAGTGCGGACCACGTTGTGAGTGTGTGAGCTCAGCTGAGATGAAACTGAGAGCTGGTCAAACAGTGCGCAGAAAAAAATCTCCTCGACGAATCCGCCAGGTACCGAACAAAACACGTTCATGTTGACTTTGTGAAGGTGTGAAATGAGTTTAATAAAACGCTCAGAGCAGAGACCGGGGGCGGCTCAGAGTCGGGCTGGGCGATAACAAACATCCTGAGAGAGGAAGAGCGACGGAGTACACGTCCATAGTGATGATAAGAGCTGAATTTGTGACGCCATAAATCGATCTATCAGACGAGAACACTTGGAAACAGAGACCACGGCATGAACATCTGCAAATGTAGAATTTCCTTTCTGATTATGACAGCAAAGTTTTGTGGTACCCTAACCCTAACCCTGACTGGGCGGAGTCTGGATTTTAAGTCAAGACCACCACTGATCGGCTTTTTGTAGTTTGATTTTTATCCTCCGGTTGCGACCACATCCTTTACCGGTGTTACAGTCTAAGTGAGGGGAACGCCACGGTCTGGTCTCGATCCCTAGATGTCTAGGTCTGGCCTCGGTCTCGCCCAGTTTTGGTCTCGACTCAGTCTTGGTTTTGATCCCTAAATGTCTCGGTCTTGACTCTGAGCACTCTGGTCTCGGTTAGTGTGATCTTGACTAAACCCTATTACACAGTATCACAGAGGTCCATGCAGCCTACTTCCTATTGCAAACCGTATGGACGTAATGGTCGAGGGGAAATGACCTCTCAGATCATAATGTTCTCTTCACCGCCCAGCACGAACTCAAAGTCTGAAAGTCACTAAAGCCTCTATAGTAAACATCGGGGAATCTTTCTTACCCGGGGTAGGTAGGGATGGCGGGCTGAGGCACGGCGGCCCGCACGGCGCTGTACACGGGTCGGCCTCGACCCCGGAGGTGGGCGCCGCGAAAAGCCGCAGCTGCTGTGGTGGCTGCTGCTGCTGCAGACGGGTAAGGGAACCCGGGGACTAAAGATGGAGAGTTAAAGGAGGAAAACGTTGAGCCTGTTTGAGGAGCAGAGAGAGAGATGTGATGAGAGGATGAGCAGAGAGAGAGAGAGAGAGAGAGAGAGAGAGAGAGAGAGAGAGAGAGAGAGAGAGAGAGAGAGGGAGAGAGAGAGAGAGAGAGAGAGAGGGAGAGAGGAGAGAGAGAGAGAGAGGAGAGAGAGACAGAGAGAGAGACAGAGAGAGAGACAGAAAGACAGAGAGAGACAGAGAGAGAGAGAGAGAGAGAGAGAGACAGAGAGAGAGAGAGAGAGACAGAGAGAGAGAGAGAGAGAGAGAGAGAGAGAGAGAGAGAGAGAGAGAGAGAGAGAGGGATAATAATAAAAGAGTTCAGAGCAGAGAAACACGAGCAGTGCATTAATATGAATTAAAGATTCAGACTTTTAAACAGGCTGCAGAGACGGGGACTCACCTGCGTACAGCTCGGGTCCGTACACCGCCCCCATCATAGGACTCAGCTTCCACCCTGCTGAGAGTCACGCAGAGACGACGTCAGTTAATAATAATAATAATAATTAATAATTTATAGTGAACATGAACACACACATGCACAAACAGGATCCTATGAACATGCATTAATGGAGAGGTCTCAGAGTGAGGCGGCTGCACACAGCGAGCGCTCCAGAGTAGTGCTGGGTGATATGGCCTTAAATTTGATATCACAATATTTTTTTGCCTAATGTCGATATTCGCTATGACTTGATATTTATCGTATTAAAGTTTATGAATGTAGCCTATAAAACTGAATCTCCACTGTATAAACAAAAAATATCACTGGCTCAGGAACATTACTTTGGATTCAAAAAATAACAGTCACCAATTTACTCTTGAACCATTCTGATGCAAAAGTCAATTATAACTTTTATTTAATTAATTGAGCTCTAATTATAAACATATTGTGTATTTTTCTTATATTTATGTGCTTATGTTTATTCACCATGCTGTAAAAGTCTACTTAATGTGATATTAATATGAGGCTGTGATAGATCTGGAATCTCTCCTTCTTTCTTCTCTGTGAGAAACTCTTCATCCTTACATCTTTACTTTAGGAGCTCTCTTAAGGACTAACATGTTTTGTGAATAACTTTTATCTTTAGCAGGATCTAGTCTTTAACTTTAACGTGTTCCAGCTCCTCCAGCTGTCTGTCACTGTGGATCAAACTTTTCTCTGTTTTCGTCCTGCTGTCACTCTCAACTCTTCAGGTGATTTTTTCTCTTTGAATTCTGATTTAAACTCGGCTTTTGTCGCGATCTGATGGTTTTAAAACCATTTTACCAAACGTGTGTTTTAGAGAAAACCTGCTCTAAGATCTGTGTGTGAGTGAACAACTTGAGTGTAGCAAGCACGGTTGTGGGAGGGACAGCAGTGAAGCCTCCAGCTGAACGTGCAATCAGCTGGACTCTGTCAATCCTTCATCCGGGTCAGCGGGACACTTATAATGTCGAGCTCTGCGTTATGAAGCTTTTTTTGGAAGTAATTCGTCCTCGCTCGCATCTTTCTCTTTCTCCTCCGTGTTGGTCGCTTATAAGAGCGAGGCTCCTCAGCAGCAGGAGTGAAGTCTCCTCCGCCCTTTCGTCTCCGAGAAACAAGCGCTGCTGCGGAAATCTTGCGGAGCAACGAAATATCGCAAGAAAACTTTGAAGTAGTTAAAAAATAAAATCGATGTTCCCTTTTCCATATCAAGCATTAATTAAATATCGATCCAATCGAGCTTCACGATATATCGCCCAGCACTACTGCAGAGCAGTTTTGGGGTTTGATGCCTTGCTCAAGGGCACCTCGGCAGTGCTCAGGAAGTGGACTGGCACCTCTGGCAGCTGCCAGACCAACTTGAACCGGCGACCCTCCAATTCCCAACCCGTTGGTAAAATACAAAACACAGCTAAAAATAAACAGCATTAAATGTTCCGTCCTCCTTACATAACGCTGCGTCTGCTCCCTGCAGCAGCACCCGCACTGTGAATTCTAACCTGCCTGTGTGTACCTGAGCTGTTTTCTTTATTAGTCGGGACATCGTTGGTTGTGTGTGTGTGTGTGTGTGTGTGTGTGTGTGTGTGTGTGTGTGTGTGTGTGAGTCAGACAGTGTGTGTGTCGGTTGTCGTGGTTACCATAAGGCAGTGTGCTGAGGGCCTCTCCGTTGGGGTAGGGGCTGACCATTTTCTTGTTGGTCATGACTCTGGCGGTGGCGTTGTTCACCTGAGGGCGGAGGAGCAGACGGTCAGACACAAACACACAAAGAAGCAGCAACATTTGAAACATAAAAAGTCTGATGTTTGGGATTATTAAGAAGGAGAAACACGGATTTATGTGCTCGTGTTAGAGAGATTAAAAGTCTCAGAGCTTCTCTGTGTGTTTTAACTGTCACTGAGAGATCACAAGTTTCATCTCTGTCTCGTTTGATTTGTGTTTGTTCATCCTGTACACAGTCTGTTTCTTTAATTCAGTTTCTGTTTTGTCCATGTTTTCCATCCTCCTGCTGCCTTTTCTGTTCTGCATAAAAACTCTTTGTAACTGCTTTAGAAAAGTGCGATGCGATGTCGTTAGTTCTGTTTTTATAACCGACATATTATAAAATTATTTTGCCCCACAAATCTCAGATTTTAATGTTCTAAATATCATCTTAAAGGCACAGAGTAGACTTAAAGCTAGCTGTTAACCAATCATGGTAAAGCACGGTCCAACTCTGACTCCTAGTGTTTAAAATGGGTACTGCAGTCTAAATTCTAAACTTTCTAGCGAGCTGTCCCCCCCCTCCTCTCTAGAGTGGATGCTCACTCAGGTCACCATGTGGTGGACTCTGAAGCTTCAGTGTTTATCCAGCTCTGCATGGGTCTGTAAACCTTTCTGTGTTCTAACCTCTCTCCATTTTTCAAAAGCATCTCCAATATTGATCCTAGTTTGAGCACGTTTCTGCTCGTGGAGCTTATTAGAAACATGCAGAGGCTTTTTAGGTCGGGTACAATCACTTCTATCTGAACCACTTCTCTTGACCGCTTCCATCGCTGCAACACCTGTTGACCTGATAACTGCTCTCATATCTGGCAAACCGAGGGGCGTCCAAAACGGCCCATGTCACAAATAGGTTTTGTGCAATTTAAGCAGGTTGCAAGAGTTCCTCAAACATCGGACGCCTGGGACTTCCATTTTTGTCGCTGTGGAATCAAACATTTAAAAATATTGTTTTGATTCTGATATTGCGACATCGCTACCGGTGAGTAAACTTAGTATTTGGTTAGAGGAAAGGGCGTGAAGTTAATATCTGATCCCTTCTATGCAGAAGCTCCAAATGAGCAGAACATCAGCGGCCATCATGGCAGGGGAACTTTGGCTTTATTTTTTGCACAACAGGAGGAGGAGGAGGGGGAGACGCTTCATTTATGTGTCTGTATTTTTATGGTGCAGGCTGTTTAGGGGGATTTTCAGTCATCGTGCAATTAAAGGAAAGTTACCCAGCAGACATTTGGTGATTCATTGTGGAGCTGCCACGGCTGACAGCGGTTATGTTGCTGCTGCGGCTGCAGCTGTGATGACACATAAAAACAGGGGGGTCGTGGGGGGGGAGGCAGAAAATAAGTGAGCTGTGCTTGTTTTGGGCATGCACAGCACAGGTGACAGTACTGTGGACTCCTTTCTACTCTTGTTAATGTTCATGGCGGCGGATATTTCGGTCTCATGCTCTGGTTTTGGATCGAAGATGGCTGATAATCTTCTCTCTGAGCTTCAAAGGCCTCGCACTCGGCTCCCTTCATCTCTCCTCATCTTCCTTTGATGGGCTTTCAGAGAACGAGATTGTGTCTCGGTAATAACCCGGACTGTCCGAGTGTGCTGTCAGAGCTCCTCATCTGACTGTGTGCTGAGCTACAGATTAATGACCTTTTTGGCTGGATGAGGACTGAGTGTGTGTGTGTATGTGTGTGTGGGAGTGTGTGTGTGTGAGACAGGGGAATGAGAGTGCACACACACGCTGCCCTCTCATTCAGGAGACCATTAAGTCCTCGCTGCCTCTCAGTGAGTCATGTTCTTTATCCGTCGAGCTCCATTCAAATGGAAATCAGGTTCACCACATTTTTCCCTCGTTGCAAATGACGAGGTCAGCAACAAATAAGTGAATCAATTAGCTTAGCATAGCTAGCTCTGTGACGCAACTGACCGCCAGTGTTAATGGAGAAAATCCAGTTAATAAATCAAGGTGATGACGACTTTCTCTGTAGGGCTGTGGGTCGCTACAACAACAGAATTTAAACTCAGATCTGATGCTAGTAAAAAGATTCTAAGATTCTGGTCCTGAATGCTCTGGATTTGTTTGGACCAGAGAAGGTAGGCGCTTTTAAGACACCCACGCCCCCCCACACAGCCGTTTTGGACGCCCCTCTGTTTGTCAGATATGAGAGCAGTTATCAGGTCAACAGGTGTTGCAGTGATGGAAGCGGTCAAGAGAAGTGGTTCAGATAGAAGTGATTGTACCCGACCTAAAAAGCCTCTGCATGTTTCTAATAAGCTCCACGAGCAGAAACGTGCTCAAACTAGGATCAATATTGGAGATGCTTTTGAAAAATGGAGAGAGGTTAGAACACAGAAAGGTTTACAGACCCATGCAGAGCTGGATAAACACTGAAGCTTCAGAGTCCACCACATGGTGACCTGAGTGAGCATCCACTCTAGAGAGAGGGGGGGAGACAGCTCTCTATGATGTTTAGAATTTAGACTGCAGTACTCATTTGAAACACTAGGGGTCAGAGTTACATACTGCTCCTTTAATGAACTTTCTTATTTATCGCAGCCTAAACTGTGTGATTCAGTGAGTCAGCCAGGTCAGTCCAGGATCCGGCATGTACTGGACTGACCTCCTTTAACGCTCACCATCTACCAGCTGAATCTGTGTGTGTGTGTGTGTGTGTGTGTGTGTGCAGGTTATTGATGTGTTTTATTTCATGACATCTGGTTAACAGGAGTTCATGCAAATCAACTGAATATGGAGGGAAAATCTTAAAGTGTTAATAAAAACAGCATTCCTAATCGCACTCCTGCCCTCGCCGATAAACCCAGAGAGAAAAGATTTCCATATGAACCCAAACGTCAGAGGTTTACATCCCTACATCGAACAGAAAATTTTAAAAAACAATTAAAAAGGGAGAGAAAGAAGGGGTGCAAAAACATTTTCTTTTTGACAAAATCAATAATCATGTAACACAGAAATTACACGCAGCCAAACATGGGCGCATCACAACCAAGAGTGAGTAACAAACCAAAGGAAAAGTAAATAAATAAATCAGCCAATCAGCAAGCATCGGATGCAGCATAGAGACCAATCAAAACGATTGCAGCACTCCCACATTGAAACACGTACGAGACAACGATCAGGACGGGATGCAGGTGAGGAGGAGAAAGAGACAGAGCCAGTCCGTTTACAAACGCAAAGATGGAGTGAAGACAGAGAGAGAGAGGAAGAGAGAGAGGAGGGGAGAGAGAGAGAGAGAGAGAGAGGAGAGGGAGAGAGGAGAGGGAGAGAGGAGAGAGAGGAGAGAAGGGAGAGAGAGAAAGAGAAGAGAGAGAGAGGGGAGAGGGAGAGTGAGAGAGGGGGGAGAGTGAGAGAGGGAGAGAGACAGAGAGAGAGAGGAGAGGGAGAGAGGAGAAGAGAGAGAAAGAAAGAGAGAGGAGAGAGGGGAGAG